GGAGGAGATGGTGACTAAGAGATAAAAGAGGAGTGAGTGGATGTGAGTGTGTTTGCGCGATGAGCGGATGGCCTCAGGGAGCGGTCGACTCAGAGCGCTGCTCTGCGGATACTGACAGGCTCCGGGCCGTGTGCTCACTCGCTCGCCCCTTCCCTCTGTTCGCTGCGAAGTGGACAAGGGTGGAGGAGGGGGTGGGTGCAGGTGAAATTGGCAAGGTGGTGGGGGGAGGCTGGGAAAGGGTCTGAAAACACGAAAGGAGCAAAAGACAGGAAGAGAAGGGAGGACATATCAGAAAAGAGCACGGTCACAATGTTCACATATGTTGAAGCATTATCAAAAGAAAAAGTGCCTGAATTGTTATGGGAGCGACAGAGAAAAAAGTAGGATGCGGTGAACGGATGGCAGAAAAAAGCCAGATAAGATGTTCAATTTTACATTTGTWGTTAAGAGAGCAAAAATCATCAGTGAGGGAAGTTTGGCCTGCAGGCCTTCGTAATCGTAACATAATATACAAGTGTGTACACCCACTGCTTCCAGCTGCAGTCAGACATTTAGTCACTCATCACTGACATGAATCTCAGAATAATTTGGGGCTTTTAATCTGAACTGTTCTCCTTCAAAAATGAAGTGATACCATTATTCTTAGCAGAATTASTTTTCATTTAAGCTGATTGGCTTCCTGATACGATCCAGGCTTTAAACAAGGTCCACAGCTTTTTAATAGTGTTCAGGTCGTGGCTTTGAGAGGGCCAGAGGGTTAACGTTAACCTGATTTATTCCATCACATTAGTTTTGATGTGTTTTTAGGAGTATTTTTGTTCTCAAACACCTACTGTATTTATTCATGTATAATACTAGAAATTTAACCCTAAAGATCATCCATAAAGTGTGTGTGTGTGTGTGTGGGGGGTAGTATTTTACACAGGTTATCATTGATAATTAGATTTTTAACGCTTTATAAGCTCAAAAATGATCTTATTATACTCGAGATCGTATTATACATGGATAAATACGGTCTTTGTGTCCAACTTTCCAACAGTCTGTTGATTTGAAATGTAGTTGACATAGATCTCATCTCCATTTTTTTATTTGCTCTGAACTTTCAGCACTGCTTGAAGATGAACATGGTATTTGGGTGAGTTTGTGTAAATATATATTCAAGCCTGTACGTATAATTTTGAGTTAGAGAAAGTCCACAATGAAGTTAAACTTGTTTACTAAATTCTTGTTTTTAATGTTAAAGCTGTATGTTGTATAACCACCTCCAGCTGGAAAATGAGCAGTTTGAATAAAACACCCAAAACCCTAAATTAATGCAACACTTGGATGTAAACTTTCGTCTGCAACTGTGAATATGCAGTTTATATTAGTTCCTAAACTGTAAAGCTATTAGTATGGATTATGCACAGTTGCACATGATGTGAAATCAACATTATGTTTGTGGCAATGTGATAAGCAGTGTGTTAAAGTGCAGCAATGRGTCTGAGTGTCAACTGTGAACATTTTCAATCTTTCTCATTCATGATGAAGCAGAACTGCTGTGACCCTGTGACATGCACATGCCACTTTCTTGACAATTTGTTTGTTTTTGAACATTTCACACTCATGTGCAGGTGTGCTGCTGAGAGCTTGTCAAATCACAGACATAAGAAACTTATGATATGGGAGCATGTTGACTTGGTGGGGTTATGCAACATCCCAGGGAAGCCAGCGGATTGAGACTAGCGTTGCTGAATATGGAAAGAGGGCACACAGCAAAGGCTGCTGGGAGTTTCTGATTGGCTCCTAATGTTGCTATCCAGGCCGGGATTGGCTGAGCTGACGCAGCCCGACATCACGTTGTCGGGACTAAACCCTTTTGAACTAAGGCAAAGCAGGGAGGCAAAGATATCAAAATACATACACGCACTCCCACACGTATATATGCACGCACACATCTATACATGCACACACTCATCACAAGGAGGCATTACATGCAACCGAATACCTATGCACAGTTTCACTCACATGCCAGAACTGAGCATTAAATAAACCTGGGCTGAGTGTTGATACACGTCAGGCAAAAACAGAATTGATAATGCTCCCGGGCACGTCTCCGTATACCATCTCTGGCGTATCTGCACAGGTCAAAGCGGAAAGAGCAAACTTCCTTCATTTCTCCATTCTCTTTTAAGCCCGGCTCTAAGGTGGACAGAATAAATTGGAGCTTAAGCATGCATGAAGGCACAGCCAGCGGGCCGCTTTCCACCACTCCACGCTACATTTGTCAAATCAGAAGAGTTTCTGCTACACGTGAACCCCGAGTCTGAGTAGAGAGGAACAGCACAAATTCACATTGAAGTCACGCACATAAAGCACCACTTCTATAG